GCCCAGGCCTCAAAAAGGTTGCCTACCCCTGATCTAGATTCTTAAGGCACCATAGCAATACATGGTATGAGTTCACATACAACTGACTATATATCACTGGCTCTCAGCTCCCTAACCCACTTAAAGTGAAACAAAGCACTACTGAATTGTATGACTGAATTACTGAAATTACATCTGGGCTTAATTTAAATTTTTAAGTTTTAACATCATAGTTTAGGAGAGGCATGATTTTCATTGGAACTGCAACATATATAGCAAGATTTAGCTTGAATCCTATTCTTAGTCCCAAATGTTATATGCAGCATGGTGTAGTAGTTTGAGCTTTGCACTATAACTCTGGAGATCAAGGTTCGATTCCTTGCTCAGCCATGGAAACCCACCAGCTGACCTTGGGTGAGTCACACACTCTCAGCCCCAGAAAACCCCATGATCGGTTTGCCTTAGGGCTGCCATAAGTCAGAAATGATTTGATGGCACACAAGAACAACAGTTTATACATGCATCCATCCCCTTTCATATATGTGCATTTAATAACCATTTCCCCTTAATTTGGACTTGGAGCAAGGCTTTCCTGACCACATATAAGGGAGAGGTTTTATCCCTTCACTACCCCAGCTGCTATTCTTCACTTCCAGATTTATTGGATGTATGCCCACTGAAAAACACCATGAAATTGTTGGGGTCACCACAAGCCGACAGGCGATTTGAAAGCACATAGACACACAAGTAAAAGAGAAAAGCCTCTTCACACCAAGGACAGATAATTTGCAGGTACATCTTTCCTGGGTACAAACTGGCTTGGAATTATTATTCATGGCCAGAGCTAGAAAAAGAAGATTGTCAGCAGACTTACTATTCAGATAAAAGGGCAGACACTTAGTCCACCTTGCAAGACAGAAAGCAGTCCATCACAATGTCTTGCGATTTTCCCCCTCCAAACCAGGCATGCTTGCTACTTATGGGATCTAAATAGCACCTAGTTTGACTCTCAGATCAGTCATCTCAAAACTTTCTGGCCAGAAAACCATTAGAACATTATATTTCCATAACTGGCTAGTTGAGCAAGCAGTTGGACTTTTTATTGGTTTGTGTAAAAAGATCACAGAGACCTTCTTGCACAAGTGTTCTCCTGGAACGAACTTCCAGAAAGATGCATGGACCACAGCTTCACAATCCCCCACCAGTCTGGATGTTTCCATTCAATAAAGCACATAGGCTCTGAAAAGGATTGTGGTCTTTGTTTTTATGGAACCTATCCACATCTTTTGTCTGTGAAAGAACTCCATTCATTAGCTATAGGAACCTTGTAGGCTGCAGAAGAACTTGGGACATGTTTTAGCTCTGGGCTGGATGGTCAGGTTCATTGGGCTGCATCCAACCCAATGGCCTTCCTTTTTTAATGTGGTCCCTTTCTAATCTTAAAAAAGGCATCCAATAACAAAATAAATATGTACTTAGAAGGAAGAATTATATCCCTTTCCTCAACCATATATAAGAGATAGTTCCCCTACAACTTCAGTATGTATGAGCCATTCCAGTATACACATGAGGCAGAAGGTCTGACCTATTCATTTTATAGTGAGGAACAGCTCCATTTGTACAGAGCAATATGTGGAGAGTTTCTCCCACACTGAAGTGAATGAAAAAGTTCAAACAGGAGTGCATGAAACTAAAGATTTAAAAAATAAATAAATTAATAATTAGTGTAAGGTTGAATTCAAACTAAGGCCACAGTCCTAAGCACCCTCACTAGTATGTTCCATCAATCACTAAATAAACATGCATAGGATTGCATTGCATTTAGCTGAACTTAAATTCAAACTGAACTTGATAGACTGATAGGAAAGTGAAAAAATTCGATAGACTGAGAGTTAGTCATACCATAAGTCTGATTTCAGGGGAAGCTACATGCAACTAACCTATTCTTTCAACTTGGAACAAATTGTGTGGCATTATTTTTTAAATCACTCTCCTTCAAGTACATGGGGAGTCAGGGAATCAAGCAGTAGGTTATTACCATAATTCTGCTAGTGCTGTTTTCATTACAGTGGAACTTGTGTTTATGTCCTTCAAGTCACCTGTTGACTTATGGTGACCATATACATTTTGTAGGGCTTCCTTAAGCAAGGAATACTCTTAGGCAAAGAGTAGTTCATTCCTCTGAAATATAGCCTTCAGCACTTGGTATTCATTGGTAGTCTCCCATCCGAGTATTAACCAGTGTTGACCCTGCTTTGTTTCCAAGATCAGATATTTAGCATCTACTCCCAGATATTGTTTTCACAAGTGGAACTGATGACAGAGAAGAAAGATACCAAATTATGAAACCAAACCACATTATTAAGAACTTGCTTAAGTAATTTACAGTCTGAATATCTATGTGTAATCAGATAATCAGTGAACAAAGTTTTCAATTGTAAGAAGCTGCCATTAAATTAAGAAGTTTATATCTAGTGTACATATACCAGACTTGCACATGCTGGATAGAGTTGGTAGGAGTTGTTGTCCAACATATCTGGATGACTGCAGCTTGAGAAAGGCTGGTGAACACCTTTGCCTACCTTTTATATTAATAAAATTACATTTATAGTTTGTATATTAAAAGTCAGACTTCAGGAACTAGTAAGATTACCCAGTAGTGAGCAAGAATGTTGACATCAAACATGTCCTGGATCTGCTCATCCTTGGTTGAAAGTAGTTTTGTTGTTGTTATCACTCCAGCATTATTCACCAAGATGCTAACATCTCCAACATCTCTTTTCACCTATAAAATTGGGGGGGGGGGAGATGGATGTTCAGAAACAATTTAAACTGTGTTTGTGCTTCTAACAGGAATACAACCATTCCTGGGAAATATAGGAATGGCAATGTTAGACAAAACCAACAGTTTTTTTTAGCCTAAACACAGGAGTAATTGTTCACATGATTTCAGTAGGGTTAAGGCATAGACTGAACCTTGAACCTTAGTATATATTGAAAAACACTAGACAAAGGTCCAGTAGGCCCAGAGGGTGCTGTAACTCTTCCTTCCCTCTGCTTCCTTCCCTCTATCCCCAACATAAACATTTCTATTTATTCTGGCTTACAATGTTTTTCCTGTGTCAAGGCTTGGGAAGGATGCATTTATTTTGAAGTCTTCACTGATGTCCAATCAACAGGCTTGGAATAAAGCTTGCATTTAGTCTATTGATATTTTACCTTGTCTGCAACTGTGTAGATTTCCTCCCTGCTCTTGCAGTTCACCACAAATCCATGTACAATGGCCCCCAGCTTTCTGCATTCCTCGACTGTCTCCTCTACACCTTGCTGTGAGGAAAAAGCAGGGAAACCACAGGCGTGATGGTGGCATGTAGACGGCATACATGAGAAGCTTTTGTGCACAGAAAACTACATTTTGCATCACCACTGAAATTACAGTTGCATAATGATACATCATTAATATTGGAGTATCTTTAACAGCCTAGGTTAGTGTATGAGTCTAGCCTTCCTCTGGGAAATCAGCAGTACAAGAGTGTGGAGAGGTTTGGCACAGCTAGATAAGGCAGGCAGCGAGCAATGGTCATCTGCTGGAAAAACATATATTTTCCACTCTGGAATGGACACCCAAGCCAGCTTGGAGACTCTGCCCTGCTTCCTAGACCCTTGCAACTGGATTCTGGCTTTTGCATGTTCCTCCATGTATCTTGGTTTTCCTGTCTCTTGACTGACTGCCAGACCACTAATTCCCATGTGGCTTCCCTCCTCTTCCAGTAAATTACGGCAACATCCATGCTTGTTCAACAATGGGCTTGTTCCATTTGTATATCATGTGAGGAGTGCAAACTAGGGGCTTGGTTTTAAAACCAAACAAGGCATTCAGGCGAGAGGAGGGGGCCATCTACACTGTCAAAATAATGCAGTTTGTCACCACTTTAACTGCCATGGCTGCATCCTACAGAATCCTGGGATTTGTAGCTTTGTGAGGCACCAGCACTCTTTGGCAGAGAACAAACAACAGATCCCAGGATTCCATTGGATGGAGCTACAGCAATTAAAGTGATGCATAACTGATTTTTTTTCTACAGTGTAGATCAGCAGTCAGCAAACTATGCCCCGCAGGCCGAACCCGGCCCGTCGAGGCCTTGTAACTGGCCCATGGCCAGTCCCGCCGCTGCTGCACCCGCGCCGCCGCCGCCGCTACCGTTGTGCACATAAGCTTGTGACCCGCAGAGCTGTTTTCCACCCCACGCTCACGCATGCATGCGCACGATGGTGGGACTAGTGCATATGTGTGT